TTAGTGTGCCATAATTCAATTACCGGTTTCACAAACCATTTCATGTTTCAAATCATCATTCCAAGGATTTTCAATATCAAAACATGGATTAAAGATGCTAATCCATCTACTCTAGGTCCCCAAATGAAGCTAATTTGGGTCATCCTCGAAACCATAGGTCAAAAGAGCATTTTCAGGTCAAACGGGGTCAAACCCCGTGTATACCGGTCGACTGGTGACAGAGCAGTGCCACCACCGGTCGACCGGTGATGTGCAATCCGGTCGACCGCACAGGTCGATCGGTGAAGAACACCAGTGCGAGAAAACTCACAAAATCAGTCCGAAAATTTGTAAATCCAATACCAAATCAAGATATCTCAAGGGACAACCACTAGATCCGGGTTCTAGGTACTAAATCAAGTCCAAAGAACCCAAGATCTCCAATTTTTACCACGATTTTACTCAAAATCCATGAAAATTCATTCCGAACCAAAATAGGGTTTTTAAATCCGAAAATCCAAGAATCAAGAGAGGTTTTTTCAGAAATCTCACATCAAATCCATCTCTTGGAGTTGAAAACTTCTTGAAACTTTGCTTTGGTTCGAAATCCGGTTGATTTGAAGCAAAACGGAAGAGAGAGAGAGTGAAGTCGAGAGTGAGAGTGTGAGAGAGAAAGAGAGAGTGCATGGGAAGAAAAGAGGAAAAAGGAAGAAAAGGAAAGGAAAAAAAGAAAAAGAAAAGAAAAGAAAAATAGACAGATCAAACATTTAAAATAACAGTCTAGAAATGTACGCACACACACCTCTGGATAAAATGTAAATACTGAGAATATTTAAATACCTTAGAATTACTCAACTTTACATGTCAGAAATATTTATTAATTAATAACCAATTAATTAATTTAGACCAGGCACACTTATAAATCTCAATTATCTTAATTAATCTCATTTAATTTTTCAGGATGTTAATTTTATATATGTAGGATAGTAGTGGTCGAGAAGAGCGTGAAAAAAAATAAGTATAGGCATATTTTTAAAAAATTATTTTAGTGAGACAATTAGAAAGAAATTTGTGAGAATAAAGTTAAATATAACAAATTTTAGAGTGCTACCGAAAAAAATATCTAAGTAGGATAACATTTGAAAAAAATAATTGAGGTAAATAAAAAAAAAGTTAAAGAGAAGGATAAGAACGAAAAAATATTAGATTTTGGGGAAAAAAGAAAAAAGAAAAAGACTTGAAAAGGCCAAAAAAAAAAAACAGCAAAAGCAAAAAAGAAAAAAAAAATCTAAAACGATGTGTTTTGGAGACCAAAAGTGTACAGAGGCAAAAGATCAACTCTTTTATAATATAGTGAAATAAAGTTAAATATAACAAATTTTTAAATCTCCACGGAAAGAAATATTTAGGTAGGATAGCATTTGAAAAAAAAATAATAATTGAGGTAAATAAAAGGAAAAAAAGTTAAAGACAAGGATAAGAACGAAAAATATAAAATTTTGGGAAAAAAAGAAAAAGGAAAAAGACTTGAAAAGGCAAAATTTTTTTTTGAGGTAAATAAAAGAAAAAAGTTAAAGAGAAGGATAAGAACAAAAAAAATATAAAATTTTAGGGAAAAAAAGAAAAAAGAAAAAGACTTGAAAAGGAAAAAAAAAACCATCGCAAGCAAAAAGCAAAGAAAAAAAAAATCCAAAACGAGATGTGTTTTGGACGACCAAAAGTGTATAGGCCACAAGATCAACTATTTTATAATACTAATTTTGGTACGTGAGATGCACGAATTTAATTATGATTAAAGCTTTTATAACTTATAATACAAACAACAATAAACAAGAAAAAAATAGACGAGTATTTTTACTTAAAGATTAAAAAAGAGTATACATTAAGTAGTTCAAATGAAATCGCACAACTAACTCGTCCACAAATGTAGAGTTTGAATCTCCCACACATTGTCCTTTTTTTTTAAAGAAGTATACGTTAATAGTAGTTGGTGATATTTAATTATAGAAATACATTAAACATTCTAAATTGTAAATTAATAAAGTAAAAAATAAATAAATTAAAGAGCTTAAACTTAAAAATGAAAGGAAAAAAATAAAACACCTAAAAACTTACCGTTTTAAACCATCATAGAATGAGCATAAATTTTGAAATACAAAAAGAAAAAAATAAACGAGTTAAAACTTAAAAATAAAAAGAAAAAGTAAAGCATCTAAAATTTATTGTTTTGAATTACCGGATGAACAACCACCAAATATCTACTCTTTTATATAATTAGGATTAGGATTTATAAAGTACCAAAAAAGTTATGGAAAACAAAAGAAACAAAAAATAAAAGAGTAAAAAGAAAAGATAAAGGAAGCAAAGAAGAGATAGGGGGAACAAAAAGCAGCAAACTGGTGCGTAAATGACTATAAAAAATGAATAATATATTTTTCACTCACTCTTTTATATAGTTAGCATTTACTATTTGGGTATGATATGATTTAGCATTAAAATTATGATAAAAAGTGAAAAATGTAACATATGATACTCCATAATTTACGTTATTTGCTAACACATTTTTTTTATTTTATTTTAAGTGTTTGAAAAAAAAATAAAAGAAAAAAGAGAAACAAAAAAAAGTTGGAAGAAGCAAAGAATCCAAAAATTTCCTAGATAAAAAGGAGCCAAAACGACTCGTTTTGGACTGTTAAAAAAGAAATAATATTGTCGTCATAGCTCTTTTACATATGTGCAGAATAGCAATAGTTATGAAAGCCGTGAAAAAAAATTTATTAGGGGTATATTTGTAGAAATTTATTTTAGTGGGATAATTAGAAAGACATTTATGAGAATAACTTTTAATATAACAATATATTAGAGAACTATCGTAAAGAAATTTCTAAGTAGGATAACATTTGAAAAAAAATCAATTAGGGTGAATGAAAGAAAAACGTTAAAAAGAAAGGTAAGTACGAAAAGTATAAAATTTTAAAGAAGAGATGAAAAAGGGAAAAAAAGACCTTGAAAAGCCCCCTAAAAAACCATCAAAAGCCAAAAAAAAAAAGAAAGGGGGGCCTTAAAACACACGTTTTGGACGACGAAAAAGGCCCAGTAAAGCAAACTTCCACTCTTTTATAATATATTAGTTGAAGTCAGCTGTGGACGGGAAAACTTTTAAGTTCTATCCCTATGTTAAATTTTAATTATTGTGTTAGTAAAAATTATGGATTGAAAAAAAAAAAATAAAGGAAGTAAAACAAAAGCGAAAGGAAAAAAAAAACGTATAAAAATAAGAATGTATAATTGTTAAAAAAATTATATGATTAAATGAGAGACCAAAAAAGTTAATAGAATACGGTGATTAGAATTATATTTAGTCCGATTTAAAAAGCTCGCGGTGCAATAAATGTGGTGGAGTTTTATGAAATTTTTTTAAGAATCTGTGGTGGTCGCGGAAGGATCGAGTGGACTGGACCAAAAATAAACAAGAAGAAGAGAAACAAAAAAATTTAAAAATTTTAAAGAAATGAAAAAAGGTTAAAAAATTGGGGACTAAAAGAGCAAATAAGGAAGAAAAGGAGGCTCAAAAGAAAAGAAGGCAATAAGCCAAAACAAAAAAGAAAATTAAAAAAAAAGGGGACGAAACGTTTTGTTTGTGCCCTCACAGAAGAAACGTTTCGTTCTTACCGCGGGTAAGGTTGTAAGAATTTAGACCGAATCCGACTAACCCGCCTGATTCGAATTAACTCTACCTGAAATTTGTGAATTTTTTTTTTCTTGGATTCAAATAGGCCCAACCCGCACATTACGGGTTGGACCGCAGGACGGGCTTCCTTCGGCCGATACTCCCCGACCCGGCCGATGAGATTAGTGGGAAAAAATCTCTTCGCAGTTCTAAGTCTCTCTCTCGGATTCAAATAGGCCCAACCCACACTTCTCAGTTTCTCTCTCTCTGCTAGCGTCCCTCTCCTTCGATTCTTGCAGCTTCCTCTTTCTCTTTGCCAATGAAAGAATCTCTTCGCGTCACAGTGAGAAATGGTTTTACAGAAATGAAACGAATTCAGAATCGACTCGATTGGGTCATTCGCAGTCACCATTACTATCAAACTAAATTCAATCCTCTTTTCAACTCTTGTATATTTAGTATTTACACTCTTATCTTATCTATATATCTACCCAATCCAATTTCAGCAAAATCAACGCAATTCCTACCAGAAAGACGAAATAATCAAACCCTAAATCAGAAAGAGGAGCGACGGACCTTCGAGAATCCGACGATCGCCGTGAGATCCGAACAAGAAGCGGGTCAACTGGTTGAATCCGAAACTCTGAAGAAGAAAAATCCAAGCTCTAATGGCCTCAAATCCCAAAACCACCACACATTTTTTGTGCCGACTCAAGAACAATCCATACTCGTCAAAAACCAAAAACAACTTCTCGTTTTGCCTCTTCTCTTTCGGCTCTCAATCAATCATTTAACCCCAAAGAAACGTCAGATTTTAAGTTTTCGAAACAGTGGAAACCATTAAAGAAGGAAAATCGAGCTCAGAAAGAGGCAAGAGTGGGTAAATAACAGTTGGTACCTTCCTCGTCCAAAGACATCATAAATATGCTGACAAAGACCATAATTTGTTTTCTTTCCAACATGTTGCCATGGGCACAATCAAACATCCAGGCCCAACCCGCCCAACCCGCAAAATCGAGCCTACTCGAGGTAACCCAAAGGATTACGGGTTTGTGAGCCAAATTAAATGCTGCGGCCCAAACTCCGAATGTAGCGGCTCGGCCCAAATTTTAAGCCCAATCCGAGCCTAACCGGCCTACTTACATCCCTAACCGCGGGCGTGGAGCGAATCGTTTCGTCCCCATAAAGACGAAACCGCGGGCGCGGGATTCACATAGTGCCCCTCACAGACGAAACGTTTCGTCCCACCACGGGCGTGGGATCCACATATTGTATAGATGTAGATGTATAGATACAGTGGTAGTGAAGAGGGGAGGAAAAGGAGGAAAAAAAAAAAGAAGAGGAGGAGAGAAACGAAAGAGAGCACGAAGAAGCAGAGGCAGAGGCAGCGGCAGCGGCAGCGACTCGTCTTCCAGTTCTAGGTATACTCCGTCTCTTCTCGTCTCCTTTTTTGCTCGTATTGTTGTTCCATGAATGCGACTCCAACTCCAACTTCTTCTTGTTCTTGTTCTTCTTCTTCCTCCTCAGTTCCTCAGATCGCAATTCCTAACCCTTAAGCTTCTCTATCACAATCAATTTTCGTCATTCGAATTGTATTTCGGTTCAATATTACGCGAAATAGAATCGAAAAACCAGTTCAATGGTCCTTTAGGTTCATCTCAGTAGAATTGGATTGGTGTTGAAGTTAAAAATCGCTGTTTGGTTATAATATACTAAAAATGGGATTTTTACTTGATTTGATTGGGAGTTTTCAATTCAAAATTCATTAATTTCCGCAATTAAAGTTTTATCTTCCAGTTCAGCTGAGATTATTGTCGTTAAGGATTATTCTGTTTTTGTTTTACTTACAATTTTTTTTTTAATTTTATACTTTTTTTAAGAATAATGTGCTGTCGACTTTACTCACTAAAGGAATTGTTGCTCTAGGTTGTACATTTTGATGTTTAATGGTTGCTTATGAGCAAATAGAGTACTATTTGGTTGTAACCCAGTAACTAAATGTTATGTTTTTGCCAGAAACTGCTAATGCCCGATCATTGTCCACTATCTCTTGGTCTGTTTCGTTGCTTTTTTATACTTCTTTGAGTTCCACAATGACAACCCCGGCTCCTAACGTGGGCTCAACAAGTTCATGGGGGCCGCCTGCGGCTTTTACCATGCCTCCGGGAACACCCGGGGCTCCGGGAACACCTGGCCCCCCAGGAATATTGCAATCTACACATATCTCCTCTAATATTACCGTGGGACCTGTGGCCGTGGATACTTCTTTAACAGTTCAGAGACCTATTATGCCTTCGCCAATGGGTGCTATGGCATCAAATTCAGCTGTTCAGCAGCAAATTGGTGTTCCATATCAGTCTTTGCCTTCCATGGCTGCTCCCCCTCAGGGACCCTGGTTGCAGCCCTCTCCTCAGATGGGAGGCGTTCCTAGGCTGCCGAATTTGCTATATCATGCCGCCTTTCCTGGCCCTTTCCCGTCAATGGCACGCGGTATTCCCCCTTCTGTTCCAGGACCTGATTCGCAGCCTCCTGGCATTGCTCCTGTTGGAAATACTCGTCTGACTCCAACACCTTTTGCCGCTTCTGTACAGCCAGTAGTGGCAGGATCCTCAGGGACAAGGATGGAATTACATACTTCAGGTAGTGATGTGGTTGCGCTTTCTTGGTGTTGAATGGCTAATTATGAATTTTCTTTTTTCATCCCTTAACTGATGTATCTTTTTCTCCTAATAAATATTGAACGGGCTTGGTAGACGAACAAACCCATGTCCGTGATGTTAGGTCCCAAGTTAGTGCTGATGTTAATGAGCAATCAGATGCATGGACAGCGCACAAGACTGAGGCTGGAGTTGTCTACTACTATAATACTTTGACTGGAGAATCAACTTATGATAAGCCACCTGGTTTTAAGGGCGAGGTATTTGCAATTCTAGTTTCTCTGAAACATTTGGTTTTTTCTTTTCCTAATATAATTAACTTTTATCCCTGGTTTTGATGTTGATGCAGCCTGAAAAAGTATCTGTGCAGCCTGTCCCTGTATCAATGTAAGCTCGCTCTGTTTTAGTTTTTGGGATTTTTTTACCTGTTGCATTTACAACAAAAATGATCTTATCACATGTTGTAAATCAATTTTCTTGTTGCTTTCATGGTTGTGCTTATTTATTTTTCCCAACAGACGGAATTGGACTCTATAACATAAGTCTTAGGGACACTATACATTGTTCATCATAATAGAGAAAATATTAATGAGATGTTTGTTTTAAGGGTTCGTCCCTGATTTTGAATCTTGGTTCTTGGTTCTCTACAGTGTTTTTCTCTCACAAAAAATTTGAATTTCAAAAATTAGACTCATGAATCATGGTTTTGAATCCATGAACCCAACGTCCCATAAGATAGAGGTGTTCTTGTTGCTAGTTTTCTTTTCCTGTGAATATCAAGTTCCAATTTCCAATCAACGTTGGGATCTATAGGGCATACACGAATATATACTGCATAAGCAATACATTTATCATATTCAAAAGGATTCTCCAGATGAGTTCTAACTGCTCTGTAAATCTCTTTATGATTTCGTTTCAGTTCCACCATTTCTTAAAATTACCCCCTTTGCTACAGTTGTGAAGCGAGCTCAATTTAAAAATTTAAGATTATAGGAAAGCATGTTTGTTGATATCTTTCATTGAATTAGCTAATTAGCACATCTGGATTTAATTTGGTTTGAAGCCCAACTTGATTGAAATATTCCACCTCTATGTCATGTAAAGTAAAAAACCTTTAATGTCCGAATCCCTCCCTTTTCTCCCTATTTTGCGATAGATTATATATTTGTGTGTGTGTGTGTGTTTTCTTTTACTTTTTTTTATTTTTTAAAAAAACTATTGAAGTATCTTTTTCATTATCTATAGTTCTTGTTGTGTTTGCTAGCGTCTATTATTTGTTTTTTTGTTTTGTTTTTTGTTTTTTTTTGGGCTTGCTAATACAAGGAAATGCTAATAATCTCATGTGAAGACTATAATTTCTTGTTAGCTTTCATGTCTCTTGGCCGTTAGACTGTTGCAAATATCTTTTATCTCTTCATAGCAAAAAGAGAATTTCTTTGCTATCTGGAAGCTGCTCATCAAAGTATTGTAATTTTCTTTACTTTTGGTTTCCTATTTTTTCTGTGTTCAGGGTGAACTTGCCTGGAACTGATTGGGTATTGGTCAGCACAAGTGATGGAAAAAAATACTATTACAACAACAAGACCAAGGTAGGGTTTGTTATGAAATGTTTCTGTTCTGAGGGTTCTGCTATTAGTTTTCTGTTTCTTATCATTCAAACAATAAAATTTTGTGCTTAGTATTTTATTTTATTTTTCCTTTCATCATTGTCTCTTTAGTTCATTCATATTTTTATTTCTATAAGAAACAAGTTCTATTGAAGAAAACTTCAACAGTACATAAAGGAAAGATGATGAGACATCATCATGAAATATATAGAAGAAACAAAAAAAGTGGAGAACCTAGACCATGAGAATAAGAGAGGTGGACACCACACGTAAAATTGCCAAAACCCTTGTCTTTCCAACAGAAGGAAAGCATGAAAGGGAGGAACATTCTTCAAATCTTTAGCACCTTGGTGTTGATGCTATTTCTGAAACCAGATTAGTCCTCAACCAAAATAGAATCTGCATTGTATCTTCCTAATTCATCCCGCAACTTACTCATTGGCAGAAAATTTAAAATGAAGCAAATGATATGACGTCTTACAATCTTTCCACATATCACATGCCAAGCAGGGGGTAGAGTCCCACGACTCACCCTCTGAATCACTCACAGTCATTAAGCTTTCCATGACAGCCAAATAGGGACCTGAACTTTTACAAGGAAGTTCTTTAGCTACTCTCCTGTATTTTGACGCTGCTTATTTAATCATTTTATGCATTAGAACAGCTTTAATGCTCTTCTATTTTCCTTTTCTTCATGCACTTATGTGTTGGGTTTCTTTAGTATCAGTGGAGCAATTAGGGCTAATATTGCTTATGTTAGTTGTGGATAAATTTTGCATAGAAAAGTAGAAGGTGGTTATTTATGATCTCAGTTCAAAGTACTAGCAAGCTGCTTGCTTCTATGCATATACAAGTTTAGGAGAGAGAGCCAACACTTTGCCTTATTTGTAAGTTCTGTGGTTTCAGTTTGTAAGCAATGTGGTATGCGCTCTGTCATTCACAATTAGAGTTTCTCTCCTATTTCAGTCTGGTGCTCAGATTTTATGTATAAATGTGTGCGTGTGTGTGTGTTTTTTTTTTGGTTGCTAAAAGGAGACTTTTACAGTTTGATGTGTTGGTAAAGATGTGTGGTTTTAAGGATATGGACACCTTGAGGATAGTCCGTGCCCGTTCATTTCATGGGTTTACAACCCATGGCTCCGGTTTGAACCCAATATTCGGTTTACAACCCATGTTTGCTTGTTAAAATTTTGAACCTGAAATGTGGTCGAGAACCCATAGGAACCCAAAATTATCGGTTTTGGAGAACTTAACCCTCCCCTAGGTTTTCATAGGTTTGAACCTATTTGCTACAGTATTTCTAGTTTAAAACCATGGCTCTATTTTTGGTTTACTCACAATTCTCATACTGACCAAACACTAGCTCAAACTTTTATTCTCTGATGTGATGTTTTATTACCTATGTAAACTTTACACTTCTAAACACCAGTTTGAACCAGAGTAAACCCAAATAGGCTCAAAACTTTTGGTTCAAACCCAAAAGGTTCAAAACCTCGCAATTTATACTTGTGAAGCGAACGGGGCCTAAGGAATCTTGAACTTTTTAAGTGCTAGAATGGCTACAGAAGAAAAATGGTTGGTTGTGATTTTTCTCCAGGATGAACCTGTCACAATGGAGACGTGTTTGCTTCTATTTTATAAAAGATAATCTGCTGGTAAGCCTCATTATAGTTATTGTATTATTATCTCATCTTTCCCGCTTTTTTCTCCCTCAATCAGGTTAGCAGCTGGCAGATCCCAAACGAGGTGACAGAATTAAGGAAGAAGCAAGAAAGTGACATTCCAAAAGAAAATTCCACGTCAGTGCCAAATAATAATGTATTGGCTGAAAAAGGATCTACTCCAATAAATTTGAATGCTCCTGCCATTAACACAGGTGGTCGTGATGCAATGGCTCTTAGATCCACAAGTGCACAAGGTTCATCATCTGCACTTGACTTGATTAAGAAGAAGTTGCAAGAGTTTGGAACCCCTGTTACCTCTTCATCAGGTCAGGTACAGCCTGGAATTGCAGCATCAGAATCAAATGGCTCTAGGGCAGTTGAGCCTACAGCGAAGGGCCAGCAGAGTGAAAGTAGCAAAGATAAGCCTAAAGATGCTAATGGTGATCGCAATATGACCGATTCCTCTTCAGATTCAGAGGATGCAGACAGTGGGCCTACAAAGGAGGAGTGCATTATTCAATTTAAGGTACGTTTGTTTTACACTGTATTTAAGCTTTTTAAAGAGATGTAATGCTAGAATCTTAGGAAATCCAATATCCTGACATGACATGTTTGTTGAGAATCACGTTTGATGCCCAGTAGATCCATCCACCCACTATGTTGAGTTCTTAAATGTTCTACATTGATTTTGTTTTCCATATGTTGTGCGTATTCTACACCAGTAATTTGGAATTAAGTATAACTTTGTGCTGATAGTTTTAGATTGTTATGTGCTTATTCACATAGTTAATTGACATTTTAATTCTTGGAGATCTGTTTGATTAAATTTTGTGTAGCTCTGCTAGCTCTAGACTTCTGTCTCCTTGATGAATTTTTGGCATGTGCCTGATGATAGTGATAAAGCTTGGTCTTTATACAGGAAATGCTTAAGGAACGAGGAGTGGCACCATTCTCAAAATGGGAAAAGGAGCTGCCAAAGATTGTTTTTGATCCACGATTTAAGGTTTGTTGTAGTGGAATACTGGCAATTTTTTTGTTGAGTAGGCTCTAAATTATAATGTGAAGTGCTTGATGTTCCACGTTTTGTTGCTTTCCCCTCTTTTTCTCCCTCTTATCATCATTCTTGCATTATTTGTGTTTGTCTGGGATGTTGGGTGCATGTGTGATAACTTAATAACAACTGCAGTCTTGATATTCTTGAAATATAATTAATCTTATAGAGTAATCAATCATCCGAGGTTTTCTCGTGTTGTATTGTGGATACTTATATTATGCCTCTGTAGTGATGTTTATATGAATTGATTTATTGGTGGTTGTGCACCATCTAAAGAGTATATGTTTGGAGTAATAATGATGTTTGGTCCCTAGAATCTGGATTTTCAGTTTTGGTTATTTTGTCTTTGTGCTTTTGGTTGGTTTGTATATCTTTTGTTTTCTATTTCCCCCTTTTTTTCCTGAGAATATCTTTATCCTCTTATTCTTGTATTTATTCCATTTCATCAATATGAGGTTTTCTCTTATAAAAAAAATGTTGGTGGTGCATAAATGCAAAAATGTAGCAGTCCTTGTAAGTTGGGGGGACCGGTGATGTCCTATGTGGAATGGCCTGTTTCTAATTGTGAAAGATCTATTCCATTCCTATTACACAGGCTATTCCAAGTTACTCCCTTAGGAGGTCCTTGTTTGAGCACTATGTTAAGACCCGTGTGGAGGAGGAACGAAAAGAAAAAAGAGCTGCTCTGAAGGCTGCAATAGAGGGATTTAAGAAGTTACTGGATGAAGCCTCAGAGGTTTGATTTGATTCCCTCAAATTAAAGCTGCTGTACTGTTTACGCTTCTTTTATGAATTGGATCATGGAAATGCAGATTGCTTATTAACTACCGTTTGAATTTTTAGGACATTGATCATAAAACATATTATCAAACTTTTAGAAAGAAATGGGGTGATGATCCACGATTTTTAGCCTTGGACCGCAAGGATCGAGAGCATTTATTGAATGAAAGGTACTCAATATGGTTGGACTCAATTCAGTAATGAATTTACGATTTTTGTGCACCTTTGTCCATTAGTCATAGTCATTTTTCCTTTGGGCTTGTTCGTGTTATATTCACACCAATCATTGATGTTAATTAGTGTGATCCCTGATTTAATTTGTTTAACAATGGTGGCAGCAGTTAGGTACTGATGCCCAGAAGCCTTGAGCATTTGTGTTAATTTTAGTAACTTAACTCTAGTTTGGTGAACTGAACTCTCTTAATAGCTTTTAGTTTCGACGTCATGTAATAGACTCATATGAGTGCTTTTTGTGCAAGAACAATGCAGAGATTGTTGATCACTTGTTTTTGCATTGTCTTTACTCCTATAGAATTTGGTGCATGCTACTTGATGGGGCTTCTCTGGGATATTCCCAGAAATGGCAAACAATTATGCAAGTACTCCCTTTCATTGGATGGAAAGAAACCGCAGAATCTTTGAGGAGTGTGAGGAAACCAGTGATTTCACATGGGATAAAATCAGATATTGAGTAGCTCTTTGGTATATAACCTTTGGGTAGAACTCATCCCCAAAAGTTAGCTTGTAGAGAGAGGGTGCCCAAGTGATTATAAACGCACATGCTAAGCCCATACTTTAGCATTGTGGGACTCAACCATAATCCTAACATACCACCATGCTTCCAACACCGACGTCCATGGCGGCCCACTCTGGCCTTTCCAGGTCGCCCCTTCTGCAACGTGGGCCTGAGGTAGGGCATGTTCTGATACCAATTGTTATAACCCTTGGGTAGAACTCATCCCCAAAAGCTAGCTTGTAGCGAGAGGGCGCCCAAGTGGTTATAAACTCACATGCTAAGCCCATACTTTAGCAATGTGGGACTCAACCAGGATCCTAACAGTTCACAGGGAAATCGAGTTTAGGAGCTTACTTTTGTCTGATATAGTTAGAAACTGGGCTCCATTTTTCGTAGAATAGGATGCTATCATTTTTTTCCCCTCTTCTTTCCATGGTTTTATTCTTAGAGGAAAGCTCTTCCTCTACCTGTAATTAAATTTTGATATTCAATATTTAGTTTCTTGTTTCAGAAAAAAAAAAAAAAGGCCTCATGTGTCGTGGATTTTTGTTTTTTTTTTTGTTACCTATCTATCTTCTTTAACTTGGCGCTTATTTATATTTATATTCAACTGTTTCCTAAACAGAGAAAGTGATTTCTATTGATAACCCTTGAAAGCAACATGAGTCAGCAGGTACTAGGCTAGTGACCAGATTCTCGGATTCACTTTGGGTGTGTCCTTTAGCCCTGTATTCCTTTTGGATCTGCATGGTAAAATGTTATTTGTGTAGTTCAGGTTTGCCCTATTGCATGTTGATTTGAAAGGTTTTGCTCCATTTGCAGAGTCCTGCCTTTAAAGAGGGCCACTGAAGAAAAAGCTCAAGCAATTCGTGCTGCTGCTGCAAGCAATTTTAAATCCATGCTTCGAGAAAAAGGAGATGTAACTGTTAATTCACGTTGGTCAAGGGTAAGTGCTCTCTGCATTGGTTTCTGGTTGTTTATTGGAAAGGTGACTTTTTGTCCATGTTATATTCGTGTCTTTAAGTTTGTTTGTACTTATATATGTGCTAAGAAATCATAAATGCATACATATATATAAATATATATGTATATATATATATATATTGATTTGAAGAGAAACAAGAACTTTTATTTATAAAATAATTATATAAACAAGAAAACAAGAGGAAGAGATTTCCTCAAAAAAAAAAAAAAAAAGAGCAAAAATTACAAATTTGAAGCCCGATCCCTAACAAGGTTGGGTTGGGTTTCTCTCACCCTTTCCTCCCAACTAGGTTGGGGTAGGGGATCAATCCAACCACAAATGGCAGGGTTTTTATGACTGGCTGCCAACCTAACGTCAACCCTCTGCTTTTATCCGGACTTGTCAGAAAAAAAAAAAAAATGAACTCCTTATCTGATGGACCCAAAAGGCAACAATAAACTTAATACGATCCCATAAAATGGAGCATTCCTCCATACGGCCTTCAAAAGTCATAAAAGGCATATTACATACCTCTTCCTGGATAAACCATTAAGAAATCAGTAGCAAAGCATTATTTTGGTCCAGAAACAGTAGTTGTTTGACATGAGAAGCCAATGCTTAGTGATATATATATATATATATATATATTTTTTTTTTTTTGAATGTAAAGTTCGCCTATGAGAAAATTGTATTTAGTTAGAAGATTTCTGCACGGTTGCAAGTTTTAGCCCAATGTCAATGAACCGGAGTTACTTGATAATAATCTTATACTGCTGTTGTATATGTTTACTTCGGATTTATAGGTTATTGAAAACTGATATTTTGGTAGTCTCATATTTTGTTTAGATGCGTTGTGTTGCAAAAGAGAGAAACTCCATGCATGATAAGTTCAATTTTTCTTATTACCAGAATAATCTTGAGTCACGACCTATTATCAGTTGGTTTATGGCCAGCAATATTGGGATTATTCTTGCGTTAGATTCTTTTACGAAAAACAGACCTTTTCTTCGATCTTAATTTTTCAGTTTTGGGGTTTCTATAGGTGAAAGAAAGTCTGAGGGACGACCCAAGATACAAATCTGTCAAGCATGAAGACAGGGAAGTTCTATTTAATGAGTATCTATCTGATTTAAGAGCTGCAGAAGAGGAAGTAGAAAGGGAGGCAAAAGCCAAAAGAGACGAGCAGGTATGGATAGTGCTCTATATAACATTTAGAAAACTCCCTTCTTCCATCTCTCTCTATATAAGCAGATACAGTCAAATTTTGTATGAGTTCTTTATTATTGCTTTTCGGTTTTAACTAACGCTCAATACCCTCCCTCACTCCTTTGTTTTGTTTGAAATGGTAGAGGAGGTGGGCACTTTTCCTAACTTTAAAAGATTTCTTCCGTATTACTCTCTGTATAAGCAAATACCATTAAGAAGGTCGTTTCTCTGTTACCGTTTAATAGCATGTTAATTCCTGTACTAGTACTTTATTGCTGCTTTTCTATTTTAATTGTTATTATTTGCTTTGTGTTTTACTTTATTTTATTTTCTTGTGTTAATAAATACCCTTAAAGGAGGTTTTCTTTTTTCTTGTTCTTTTTCAAAAGAATAATAGCTGGATTTTACTTGGGGGTAAGGATTAACAAGTAACTATGAGCTTTATTCTATTGTTATTTTCTAGTCTTTGTTGTTTTTCTTGTTTTGAAGGAGGCTATCTTGTTCTCCTTTTATATCTTTTTCACTTTCTACTTCTTAGTATAATATGTCACGGTACCCTTTTTATATATTAGTGGAAAGTTATAGCACCCTTGGAAAGTACCTCGTTGATAGGAAGCAGTATATCAAAAAGTGCCCTCCTTGGAAAGTACCGTTTATTAGTAATATTTCTGAAAAATATTGGAATGTACCCGTGGAAATGTCTGTCACAGTTCCTTTGTTTCTGAAAATTGTTTTTTGTTTTTTTGTTTTTTTTGTTTTCCTTTCTGAGAGCATACTGAATGTTAGTATTGGTTATCTGTTTCTGCTTTTTCTCTTGAGTCTTGGGCATCTACTTCTAGGGATTTCTAGGACAATATCTTGCCATTTCATTTGACTTATAGGGTACGGACTTAGCAAAAAATAGACACAACTTATGGAAATATTTTGTAAGGGTGAGGATTTGATACATGTTTTTTATTATCATAAAGATTAATGTATTGTTGGTTGGTCTTTCTATCATTCATAATTGTTCACTTCCGGAAAGCATGTTTACTGGTGGCTGCATGGTTTTTGATCATTCATAGATGTCTGTCACTCTTTTGATATTCATATGTTGTATTTGTATGAAAGGAAGTCTTTCGCCTCAACTTTCAGTAAATAAACTTTCAGGATAAATTAAAGGAAAGAGAGCGGGAGTTGAGGAAGAGGAAAGAAAGAGAAGAACAGGAAATGGAGAGAGTGCGAATAAAAGTTCGAAGAAAGGAAGCAGTTGTGTCTTTTCAAGCTCTACTTGTGGAAACAATTAAAGACCCCCAGGTATTTTTTTTTAATATTTTTATAAAAGAATAATCACTTCAATTTGTAGTGCTATGAAAATAAGAAATGTGCATGACTAAGATTAGTTTATGTTAAATAGTTTGCACTCCTGCACTTGAAGCTGCTAAAAATAGCTATCTATAGGTCTTGCAAGTACAGGAAGTAGAAAACTGTCTAGGATACCTTAATCAGTTTTCGGAAAGGAATAGAACCAGCAGAAATCAGCACTTGAAGCTGCTAGAAATATCTATCTCTATAGGTCTTGCAAGTACGGTAGTGGAAAACTGTCAAGGATACCCTAATCAGTTTTAGGAAAAGAATAAAACCAGCAGAAATCAGCTTTAAAATTGTGCTGATCCAGAATCCTGATAGAAGATGCTCATGTTGGTATAATCTATGTTTATACCATTTTAATGTTTTACATTTGATGATTAAAAGCTCGTTAATATTATTACTTATGGAGAGACACGAGAGAGAGACAAGGGTAGAAGATTTGCAGATCAGTATCTTGACCTCATCCTCATTTTGTAGTGTTTCTTGCCTAATTCCACGTTATCTATACAAAACAATTATAAGTTAGAAATTGTTCATAAAAATAATTATTCTCTTGTTACTGTAACGACCTCGTTAAATGCATCAAGCAGTGTATGAAAAGGCTGTGATTTTCGTTTCTTTACAGATTGTTTGTTGCTTTCGATGCTGCTTTACCTGGAATGATTATATATTTATTATTATTATTGTTATTGCTGGAAGTAGGAACCCGACTTTAACAGTAGCTCTCTGACTTGCATGTGCCCATGCCCATTCCATTCCCATGCATACAAATACACGTTTATATCTGGTTACGGGTTTAAGCATCCATGTTTGAATTATCGGCTGGTTTATGCATTCTTAAGAGAGGCCTGGTTAGTTGTTTGTTTCCAAGCCAATATTCAACTTTTTTGTTGTCCTTGTGTACTCAGGCATCTTGGACCGAATCCAAGTCTAAATTGGAGAAGGATCCACAAGGTCGTGCATCCAATCCTGATCTTGATTCATCTGAAATGGAAAAGCTCTTCCGCGAACACATAAAGACGTTGCAAGAGGTAAGTCTACTATGTTTGCACGTTCCATTGTGCCACATGAAATGTTATGGAATAAATTCCTGCTTCCATAGGATTCCAAGATTCTAGCTATGATTCACCACATATCAATTAGCAAACTAGATGCCCTGTCATGGTTTTTCCATCGATTTGGCAAGGTCGTGATTTTTGTTTTCAAACACATGCTAGTCGGCTATTATATTCTTAGTTCACTTTTCTTTTATTTGAGAAAACTCCTGTCATAAGGAAATTAGCGGATAAGAAAAACTACTTTATGCTGTGTCCTGCTTATTGAACAAATTTCAAAACCAAAAAAATTCTTGTAAAATAGCACATTCACTCTTTTCCTTGTTGCATTTTAAATGTTTGGTGGATGCAAGAAATTCCACTGTAGCTGATGGCAAACAGTTAACTTTTAGGATATAGGGGGTTTACAATGTTGTCAAAAAACTCATTTCCTTCTGTGTAGAAAAGTGAACTAAAAATTGACATTTATCTGTGCTGTAGCACTTGTATCTAGCAGAAATTCAAATGAATAAAGTTTCTTTTCTCCCGTCTCTCATGTTCTTTCTTGTGGTTTGGATTTTTCCACAGCGTTGTGCACGTGAGTACAAAGCTCTGTTGGCAGAATTATTGACAGCAGATGCTGCTGAACGCGAGACGGATGATGGAAAAACAGTTCTTAATTCATGGTCAACTGCTAAACGTCTTCTAAAGCCCGATCCCAGATATAACAAGATGCCAAGAAAAGATAGGGAAACGTTGTGGCGTCGATATGCCGAAGACATGCTACGGAAGCAGCAGAAGTCGGAACCTAATTCTAAGGAAGACAAGAAAATAGATCCTAGAAATAGAACCTCTGTCGATTCTGGGAGGTTGCCCTCGGGATTGAGAGGAACGCATGAACGAAGATAGATGATTGGAAACTACTTGGCCTCTGTCCTTTTGTATTATTTTCATCCTCTTACTCAGTCGTAGAGTCTTGATAATTTTGACTTGTAAAGGGAAACAAAAATAAGAGTGACTTATGTATGATATTGTACTGATTTTATCATTGTTGGTTAGATGACTAATGCGTAGTATTTTCTATTTATTATACATTTTTATCAGAGCACACACAAAACATTGGATTTTACCAGTAAAAAAAAAAAAGGAAACATTGGATTTCAACTTTATTTTCCTGCATATTGGTTCATTAAATGGTGAAATTCCCGATTATCTCAATTTGTATAACATGTTGAATGTAGGTGTAGCTTAGTAATTGGTTTAGACACTTCCTGTTGTTCATATTAGACCTTGACAACAAATTTTAGTATGTTAGATTAGATCAATTTATTTTAGGGGTAATTAGAAGCTTTTTTTTTTTTTTTTTTTTCTTACTTTTTTTTTAATGAATTAATTTCCATTTCGTAGCTCGACGACAAGAATCTTGAAAAAAATACAGCCAACAATAACAGCTTCAAGGATTTAAGAGAAAATTCAATGAAAGCTCAAGGGGGTTGGTGTTAATCTTTTTTAATTATTTCATTAATGTGTCCTTGATGAATTTCTCATTTGTTTGGCACGTGAACCTTGAAAAATCATTCATTCTTTCAATGAAATAATTCAACATTCCTTTTGTGCGTGATCACCTTCTGTTGGAGCACGAGAACACGAATCTGCATTAATGATTGATATGATATTTGAATCCGCCAAAAACAAGAGGATCGATTTCAAAATTCTCTCGAACTTGTACACTTTCGTGATGTTTGTTTGCAAAAATTCTCACATTTTGAAATTACTAGAAAACTACTTATTCCTAGTTCAATGTATTCCCAACATATCAGTGTTTCTGTTCTGTAATCGCTCTTTATAATAATTTAGAATTAAATCATTTCATTACTAATGAAAATAGACGACTACAACCTTATTAAAGTGTCAAACTTTATTTATTGATTGCAAACTTTAATTTTCTTTTTCCTATTCATTGCGAACTTTGGTTTAAATTATTAGTATAAATGCACAAATACTTTTATTTTAAATAATATCGTGATGAACCATGTGCTTGTCAGGCAGCTATCCTAAGATTAAGAACATAATATGCGGTTCTTTCTTTGGCAGTGACATAAGTATCAACTTGATTGTCGTCAGAGTCCTAGTCTCTATGACGAAGGTATTTTTTCTATTCTGTCACTCTCTGCATTCATAAAGGTATTTCTTCTATTCTGTCACTCTCTGCAGTCATTGTTACGGCCACACTGTTTCTGGATGAGGTAAGAATATTTATGGGGTAAGAACATGTCCTTCTGGTGGATGCATACCTAATTTCTAGATGAGCTGGTTAGCTCCCTTACATGGACTGTTTTTGGTGCTAATGGGTTGTCTGAACAATTGGGGAAGGAGTCTTTGGCGACATAGGTCATTTATGTGATATTTAACCTTGCAATGCATGATAGAAAATGGCTGGAGATTGACCATGACAAATTCCGTTTCGCTAGTTCGAGTTTTCAACTCAAGTTGAAAAGTGAATTTACGTGAGGAAAGACACTGTAGCATAAAAAGTTGAATTTGAATTTTTGTGAGAGAAAACACTGTAATAAAAACTTGAATTGTTATTCGAACTAACAAAATGAATGAGTGGAGCCTAAATTTTAAATTTTGATTCTAGATTAGTCGAGGATTTAGGTGGAAGATTTCAACAAGAGAAATACATAATGGTACTCAAAAATTGTTATCTTACGACACATAAAATACTCTTAGATCTGTTAGGCTTATTGAACTGAAATAAAAATGGCGTTATTTCTCATAGAAACCCACCCTAAAAAACAATGGGATGAGGGACCCCATTGTTCGTATTTTTTTTTGTTTTGTTTGAGGGGCCTAATGTTCATATAAGTATGTATTTTATATAATAAATAGTATATAATGTTAACCTTTTGAACATAATTAGCCTTTTTGTGGCTTATTATCAAGATTTGGTGAGCACATGTCTAGAATTTAGTTTGTTTTATATGCACCCTTTGATTTTAGTTCAAATTTATAGTGAATTTCTACAATTTTGTTTTTGAATTGCTCTAATTTTAAAAAGAATTGTTATGTTATATGGGAAAAACAGGTGAGTATCCTGACCTTTCTTGCCCCGCGCTAGTCCCGTTGCCGATCCTAATTGGAGGAACCTGTTGAGTTAATAACTCAGATACTAATTGTTGACGGTGAAACTTCATCAACAGAAATGCACCGGACTACCCTCTTGTATCCCGTGGAGTTACCGGTTAGATATTAGCTGTATATTTGAAATTATGCTAAGAAGTGTTTGTTATGTTTTGTGAGTATGAAAAACCACACTTGAATAAGAGGACACACGAGGTTTATAGTGGTTCGCTCTGTTAATCAAGAGCTATATCCACTTGTGTATCGTTTATTTATTTTGGGCTCTTTACAAATTACATGCACGTATGCTCTCTCTTCTCATGCCCGTTTTCTTTCTTTTTTTGAACTCTCTTCTAGTGTATGGGGCCTTGCCTCCCTTTATTGCCCGAGCTTCCTTCGTGGGAGGTTTTCCTTCGTAGGTGGAAGTACTCGAGTGGCCTATTTTCTAGGCTAAGACCGTAGCCCTCTAATCACTTTTGGACTGTTCACTCAGCCATTAGGTCTTCCATTACGGCTCTGCGAATCCCTGTAATATCTTGCTACCCACTGTAGGGCGGTTTAAGGGTTTGTAATTAATGCCCGAATTGCAGACGTGTCCCAATTCTGGACGCAACTTATGGTGTCAGGCATCTTCCTCTCGGCGTCTGTATCGCGCGGATCTTATGCCCTTCTTAATCTTTCCAAGGCATAAGTTTGACGTCACAATGGGCCGACGCCCTAAATTGGGCCTCTCTGCTGCGTCGAGGGTAGTAGAACCCTTGGCGTCGAGGATGATTGATGTCTTGGCATCGAGGGTGGCCACCTTTGGAGGGGAGGTAGGGCCACGTGTCATGCTGTCAACGCTCCACCTGTTGCCCACATTTTCCCACACAACAGCTGCCTCCCAGGTCGAGGGATTTCCTTAGATAACCCTCGAGCTAGGTTCGGGTGTCCCCCTGTGCCTCAGGTGTGGGAACCCAATTCCGAGCCTACTTTCGTAATGATGCCTTTATGCTTCGACTCTCCTCGAGGGACGTAACCGTCGCGTCAGTCAGTTCGCCAGGCTGACCTAAGGCTTCATCTTTCGGGACAACGAATATGAGCCCTTTGATCGTGTCCTCTTTCCTTCTACTCTCCTCGAGGGACGTAACCGTCGCGTCAGTCAGTTCGCCAGGCTGACGTAAGGCTTCATCTTTCGGGACAACGAATATGAGCCCTTTGATCGTGTCCTCTTTCCTTCCTGCCCTTGTCCGTTAATACCACTCAAATGGTAAAAAAATATTATTTATACTACTATACTATAAAATAAAGAATTGTAATTCAATTAATAAAAAGAAAACAATAGATCATGATGACATGTAATTATTTAGAATAACATAAATAATAGACATGCATAAAATTATGATAAACTATGTACTTTTCCTCCTAGTTTTATCTCTATTTATCCAGGCTTATTCCTCTGGAGAAAATTAGTGAACTCACATTTTAAATTCATTGTTTTAATATTTTTATTATTTACTGTTGATTAATACCCTTTTGATTATATATATAATTATTTGATTAAATGGTATTAATTAAGATTAAGGAATGAAAATATAAGACTCATGCACCTTTTTTTCATCGGTCTAATAAATTCTCCTCCTCCAAGTGAGTCAAAAACCATAGACCATTAATAAGTGGATATGTTTATGCTCACATGTCATCAAAGCATCTCAAGCACGTCATATATACATATGTTTTTGTATCCAAAAACAATAACTAAATTTAGACCTCCTTCTTGTGCCTTGTCCTTTTTGGCATCAACTCAATATTAACCAGGTTTGTAGATTAAATTTGAGGAATTATTTAACACTTAGCAACCATGTGGAGTCGTTTAGGTAGACATAAAGAACGTTTTCAACGAACCATAAAGGAACACTGTAAAAAATAATGGGATTCATAAGTAAAGTGAAGTAATAAAATGTGGATAAATGATTCCTTTTTAGTATTTTTTTTTGTTTATCAATGGTGTAATGAAAAAATTAAAAAAAATGAGTATTTTATCAATATAGTTATCAATATAGTTAAAATTTTACATAATTGTTGAATTATTCCATTTGATTAAGAATCAATACCAAACTGATGTACGGATCGATATTATTATTTCTCATTTCTCACTTCTTACATTGCATAGGCCAGTTAAACTCTCAGGACTATTTTTTACGAGGACATGATAGATATTTCAAGAATCACTCCTATCTCTACCTAATTTCCACTGTAAACGAACCCTAAATTTCATAAATTTGTTGAATTGAATAGCTGCCACTTGTTGGATAAGGATTCCTTCTAAAAATTTGATAGACATTGCAAAGCACTATTTTCTTTTGTTTTTTGTCTATAGGCCTATACGCTATTTTTCAAAGGGTCTATATGCAAAAGATGTTGTAGTTATTTATTGTTAGGGTCAAAATCAGCACTATGATCATCACCATACACGTGGACACTATTTAGAGAAATAGGTAAACTCGAATCAGTTAAAATCAACTGGAGACCAGATCGATTGGGATCGACCCGAGAAGCGTGATGACAGGAGACCCGCGGAAATACCTCAGATATTTGAGGAAAGAAGGATCTTTGAAGGCCACGAAATCCAGCTTCGCCGAATCTGACATTAAAGACAAGAATTGAAAAAGAAATAAGGAAAGGAAAAGTCAACTAAGGAAAAAGGAAACTCTCCAATCTAAGAGAAAAGGAAAGAATAAGACATTCTCCTATAAATAAGGGATAAAGATCACAAATTAGACTTTTTAGAACCTTCATAATACGCATAGATCTCTCTCTCTAAATTCTCTTTTTAAATTTCCTCCTCCTTCTCCTCTTCACATTCTTCATTGTAATTGTACTTTTTACAAGAAATAGGGTAACTCCTAGAGTCCTACAGTAGGTGTACCCTGCATTATCAGGAGAATCACTATAAATTCGTGTGTTCGCTTATTTTTCTGTACTTTACGTTCTCATTCTAGCATTCTATCGACTCGAGTCAACCCGGATCGATTCACCAACGTGATCGCCATCCGAGAGCGGTCATTAACCCCTAAACAAATTTAATTGTAAATTTATGATGATGAAGTGCACTTTTCTTAGTATCTAATGTGGAAAAAAAAATCCTTCACTTTTGTTTGCTTCTATTTCTTAAAAATTAAAACTTAATCGAGCCACGTAAGATAACGAAATAAATTGACTGTCAAAACTAGAATACTCTATATTAATTTAGCTAGTGCATAACTCCATTTGAGGGGCCCCAAATAGTTTGCTAATTGCATTAATGTAAGAGGGATTGGAGTAAGATTTTCTTTCTTTATATTTTACTATTTTTCCCCATCAGAGGAGATACACTTGAGTAAGTTTCTAAGTGAACTAATACAATATTTACCAAAAAAAAAAAAAAAGCAAACTAATGCAATAAAAAGGTCCTTCCTAGTTCCCTATTCGCTTGTTACTCTATCAAACTATAATTTATTTTATTTTATTTATTTGTTTTTGCTCAAGCTCTAGCAATAGTTATCTCTCTAATCTGTATATGTGACTGGTGGGGCCCTTTATTCACATGTCCCTATAATGCAACTCCTATCTCAATCCACAAAACTAAGCAGAGGACCTAAGTTCCAAACATGGCAAGAGAAAAATAAGAATATCACCAATACAATATTTGGAAAGCAAGGATTCTTGACCTTGCCAGAGCTTGTTATCAATATCAGACAAAATCTGTTTATCTTTTGTGTTTGTTGGGCCAACTTGTACTTCTATAATAATATTAATCACGAAACAAAAACTTGTTCATTTTTCTTAATTTCCTTGTTTCTTTTCAAGTAAAGAATTATCACCTAATTGGATGTGAGAAGCAACAAGGCCATACAAATACAATAAAGAGAGAGGAAATACAAAAACAAGTTTATTCATGGAATTTAAAAACAGCCCAAGTTGCAAATTTATTCACGGATATGTAATCGGTGGAAAACAACCTTAAACTATTTGGCTTTTTAATTGTTTTGATAGATTCATGGAGACCCCATTTGACTAATAATAATGGAAATGAACAAATAAGATTCCAGTCTCCATAATAAGCAAAAAAAAAACAAAGGCAATTTTATAGAAACAATGAGAATTATTATTATTATTCTTGTCCTTGGGTAGGAAAACATAAAGTCCCAATTTCTATTTTTTTTTTCTTTTGTCTAACCCTATTTTGAATGACTTTGATTAATGTATGTATTCACGGTTCACAAAAACAAATTAAAGCATTTTCACGGAAAAGCAATCACATTTACTCTTATATTGTCCTGATTCCTGAAGTTGGAAATTTTTTTTTTTTTTTTTCCAATTTTATTGTTTTGCCTCAAATCCCCTTGTTTTGGTGGGGTTGATTGATATAAATGGAAGTACATAAAGCCTTGCCCATGATTCTTCTGAAGGGTCAGAAAAGTTTGCAGTATATTAATATATAGTCACTGTGCAGATAGTCCAAACATTTTCTTTTGTTTTCTTCCATCTTTCTTCAACATTTCTCATGGTTTATGGCACACATAACAAACAGTTTTCCTAGCCACCACATTCAAGGGAAATCAGCCATGTCAAATCTCTGCAAAATGCAAATCCACATTAATGGTCAAGAGACATTCTTCTTAAATGAGGTAATCTAATATCTGAATTGGTGTTCTTGTTCCTCCTTAATTTGGATTCAATAATTTTTCTAACTAGTTATTACAACACTTTTCTTATATATATATATATATATATATATATATATATATTGTACAGAGAGTTTTGTCAAAATATACAGAAAGGGGGAATTTGCATAAATGGCTTAAATTTTGGACCCCTTCTTGTCCTTTTGATTTATGTCCACTTTCCAGTAATTTACTGGTTTACTAAGGTAACCACAGACTTCTCACTCTTAACAAATCAGGTTAATCATACATTTATCCTACAAAATAGGGTAGAAAACTAAATAAAATATATTTATAAATATATATATATATATATATATATATATATATATATATATATATATTGTGCAGAAAGTTTTGTCAACTTATTCAGAAAAGATGAAGAAGATTGTGAAACAAGAAAGGAGAAGAACCCAGAAAAGGAATTTGGACATAGAAATTGATGACTTCCCAGGAGGCCCGGATGGATTTGAGTTGGTCGCAAGATTTTGTCACGACAATGGTGGAATCACAATAACAGTCACTAATGTGTCTCTTCTCCATTGCTGTGCAGTTTTCCTTGGAATGACTGAGAAAGTCTCAACTTTCAATCTCTTGCAACAAACAGAAGCCTTTTTGGAGGGAATGTTTTACTGGTCATGGAAAGACATATTAGCATGCCTAAAGAGTTGTGAGTCATTCTTTGCATATGCAGATTCATTTGGTCTACTAGAAAAGCTTATTTTTGCACTTTTGGCAAAGATTGCTCAGAATTCAGACTTGAGCCTAATAACAACCTCATCCTCAACTTCATCCTCTCCGGAAACCGCATCCGGGTTTCGATTCTCTTCCTCTTGCAAAGCCACCCCTGAATCAATTAAGCCAAGCTCATCAAGCAAAGCATGGTGGTTTGATGATTTGACCATTTTACCACCAAAGATCATTGAAAAAGTCATAACAAGCTTAGGAGTTTACACGAACAACAACAAAAGCGTAATCCTCACAAAATTTCTCCTTCATTACCTGAAACTTGCGACTCATAGGAAAGGTCACAACACAAAAGGTGAATTTCTCGGTCTAGCAGATACAGCTTGTCATGGGGTTATATCAGCAGGGAAAAAGGCATTTTCTTGCAGATCACTCTTTTGGGTGCTGAGAATTCTGTCTGGTTTTGGAATAAGCAAAGAGTGCAAACTTGGTTTGGAAAGGTTGATTGGTGAAGTTCTTGATGAGTCAAAGTTGGATGATCTTCTTGTTTCTGGCAACAAGAGTGGTGTTTATGATGTTAATCTTGTGATCAGATTGGTGAGAGTGTTTGTTAGCTGTGATGGGGTCTCTGTACAGAAGTTGAAAAAAGTTGGCAGATTGATTGATGAGTACTTGTGTGAAATATCACCCGATCAGAACCTCAAGATCTCGAAATTTCTTGGGGTTGCAGAGAGTGTACCAGATTCCGCTAGAGACAGTTTTGATGGGGTTTTCAGGGCCATTGACATCTACCTTGAGGTGAATATCTCGTACCTTTTCCCATTTCGTTTACGGTTAATTTCTTGGTTGGTATAGAGAAAAAACACTTTATCAGTAAAACACAATTTTTAGCCCGTTACATTTATCATCGATTCTATTAAATTATAACATTTTTCTTAATCTTGGTGCAATCGGACTGATAAAGAAATAAGGTGTTTTCTTCACATACTACAAAATTCCCCTTAATTCTTTCTCGTCAATTATTGCTAAATAAGTGAGGCCTTTATGCCGACATGGTAAGTCATTTACAAGAGAGCCAAAGTAAAAGACAATGAAATGAAGGTCTATATGCAAAAGATGTTGTAGTTATTTATTGTTAGGGTCAAAATCAACACTATGATCATCACCATACACGTGGACACCATTTAGAGAAATAGGTAAACTCGAATCAGTTAAAATCAACTGGAAACCAGATCGATTGGGATCGACCCGAGAAGCGTGACGACAGGAGACCCGCAGAAATACCTCAGATATTTGAGGAAAGAAGGATCTTTGAAGGCCACGAAATCCAGCTTCGCCGAATCTGACACACTGTTTTTTTGCGCATAAGAATGTCAGTATTCATTTACCAACCGATAAGGGCAAAAAAGAGTAAGACAAGTCGATCAGCCAGATTGGAAAAAGGATATCTGTGTTTCAGTTTCATGAAATTTTAATTAAATCTATTGAATCTATGTCTATATATGTGTTTTATAGTTAGACTTTTTTAATATCCAACTATAGAATAAAATTTAGCTTAAGTTTGTAGCAGATTTATCTACCAAGTAATAATTTTTTTAGTTTATTTATTCATATAAGATGGTGTTAAGAAATGCACACTATAAATCCGGAGCTTAAGTTTTGTAACCAATTTTCATAAAGGAAAAACCCACTAAATTCATTTATAGTGAAAGTGACGCGTTTCTCAGCGTATTCTTCGGCATGTGGCTTTGTTTTGGATTTATTCACACTTTAAGTGCCGTCCAATCTAGGTAATTTTGAATAATACTAGTTGCTTCAATTGACAAAAATACGGAACTTGTCACCGTGTCAAGGGACTAATAGAATCTGTTTACTATTTGGGAGAGTCTACGTTTGATTAGTGTATTCGTATCATAATTTAAATCATAGTTCATAGTTCGTTATAATATTTTCTCACATAAAAAATACATGTAAATTGAGAATAATTCTGAATCCATGAACCAAACGTGACTTTAAAATATGCAATATTTTACCTTCCAATCTTATGCAAATTAATAAGAAAACATTAAAAATTTTCATTTTCTTGTTAGTATATGTTATTTTTTTTTTTAATATCAGAGTCAGGTGTAAAATTATTGTTATACTCTGCAGCTACACATGTTTATTTGTTTGTTTCGCTTTCTCCACAATAAATTTTTGTTTCACAGATAAAATGTTCGGTTATTTGCAGTCTAACCCCACACTTTCATCGGAGGAGAGGTCAAAACTATGCAGATGCCTCAACTACGAAAAGCTCAGCCTTGAAGCCTGCAAAGAGCTTGCAAAGAATCCAAAAATCCCACCAAGAATCACCATTCAGGCACTCATTTCGCAGCAATCAAAAGTCCCCACAAGGGAATTTGGAGATCTAAAGACTAGTCCAAGTGGCAAGATTAATAATGAATTACCCCAAATGGCTAATTTGTACAATATTGGTTGTGATGACGAAAGCTTTGCAGAGGAAAACAAATATGTGAAGATGAATTTGCAGAGAATGCAAAGAAGGGTGATGGAGTTGGAGAAAGTGTATAGGGAAATGAGGGGTCAGATGTCTAGGATTGTTAGGAACAATGTATTTGGCGCTCCTTCTCATTCTAAAACTCTCCCTAGGCTTTGCTGATTTTATTTTATTTTTTTTAATTTTTTTTTTTTGCCTTCTCCTCCTTATATATACGGGTGTATCATATTTGTTGTCAATTGTAAAAGACGCATATATATATATATATATATTACTTATTGTTATTCTGTAATAATATGTTCGGGGCAGGAAGTTTACGACATTAGAAAGTTGATTAATTATTGAGTCTAAACTCTAAAGTATCTTCTTTTGGGGTAAAAAAGAATAATAATCCGTACGTGTAACAATTTAACTTGTAAGGCCAATATCTGATTATTTTTGGCACATATTCATATGCAACACTGCGTGGCATTAACTTTTCTTATATCAACTTGTTGCATGTCAAGTAAGTTGTCATATTTCTAGTTGATTAATATTTAACAATTTTGAATATCAATTTATTCTCTTTCTTTTGAGATCAGTGAAAGAGATAATTTGTCATAAGAACTGATATTAAAATAGAAAAATGTTAGAATCACTATTTTTATCACTCTCTTTGTCACTTTCTCTATTTATTATTTAATACATGGACTCCACTACCTCATTTTCCTGTTTAAATTATAATTTATCATGTTAGTGAAAATCATGTGTCAAACAATAAATAAAATAAGTGACAAAGAGAGCAATAGAAATAAATAGTGATGTCAACATTTTTCTAATAATACTATCCAAAATTCTAACTTTATAACCAATAACAAAACTTAAAAAGAAACAAGAAACTAAAGATAACAATAGAGAAAACACAAGAGAATTGAGACACAAGATCGCTTGCATTTGTAAGGGGGTGTCCAAGGGGTGTTAATAACCTTGATGCACAGGTGCTTAATAGGGCAAGCCACCATACATATTAATAGCCAAATCTTTGATTAGTTTCCGAAAACTTATACCTATTATTCATCAAGCTAAGGTCTAAAATAAAGGTTATAAAAGAAAATTTTAAACAAACAATATAAAGATCTGAGAAAAATGAGTTGTTTTACACATGTCATCACATCACACATGCATATGTTCTCTTAGCTCTTGTGATAAGGCCCAACCATAGGTCATGTTGGATGAGTAGCCATGCCTGAGAAGGTTGCTCATATGTTACTTTTCTGTGGTTTATCTATTTATGATATTTATTATTTATATTTAGAGAATTTCTTTTGGTATTTTATCTTTTTTTAAAATATTTGTATTTTATATTTATCAATCGTTAAATTTATATATATTTTTTAATTTAATTTAACTTTTAACTAAATTTAATACAATTTAACGGCTAATAAATAAGGAAGACTAGTATTTCTAAAAAAAAGAAACACCAGAAAAAGTTCTTTATATTTGAGACATTACTTTTTAATGCGATTCTTGAGAAGCAATCAAGTATCTTCTATTACTTATACGGCTAATATTTTCCATGGTATTGTTTTTGGATCATTTGTGAATTTTATTTATGAACGATTTTTTTCCCTTAATAATATATTTTTCCTTATTAAAAGTTGTTTTCACAAAGATGTAAATGTTTTTTCTTTATGCTTAATATTAGTTTGGTCCCAGATTTTGAAGAAAAAAGGAAATTTTAACACCGTTTAAATTAATGGTATTCGTATTGATGCTTATAAAGCATGTCATGCAATTCTATTATTATGAGAGATAAAATATTGTATTCTGTTAATAACAAACATTTATGTTTTCTTTCTCCTTTATATTGGCGAGCAAATATCTTTATTATACAAAGGATTCTATGTAAAAGATAATTATTTAAAGGTCATAATATATAAAAGAGGTTACCAATCGGTATATAAAATCAGACATTTTTCCTGACAAGCTTTTGACTTTTTCCTAATTAGAGGAACATGATCTTATCTTAATTGTAGTAATGTTAATGAGATAAGGGAGAATTACTGATCTTATACTCTCAATAGTACACTTTTAATTTTTACATATTAGTCCTTAACTTTTCAATTTTTGGGACTAAGACTCGGAAACAATTTTTAAAATTTAGCATAAATAATCACATTTTAATCATAAAATAACTAAAAATTTCATAAAAATAATTACAATTTTGTGCAAAAATATTAGTTTTTAACCCGTTCCGATATTAACAAAGAAATTTTTTTACATATAATATAATTCTTTTTATAAATTATCACATGACAAACACATAATTATTTTTATTAAATTTAAAAAATTATTAATATATTTTACTGTCAGGGATAAAAACTGTTAAATAATAAAAAAGAAAAAAAGAAAAGAAAAGAAACGGAATTGCCAGCTCCCTTATTCCCGTAGTCTGTAGGTCTCGATTCGCTTTGAACGACACACCACGGCGACCGGCAACGTCGGACCGACCTTGGCAACGCACGACTTGAACTCGCACGCCCGGTCGCTCTCTCTCCTCTCTCACTCTCTCGCTCTTTTTCTTATTCTTCTTCTTTGACACACCACGGCGACCGGCAACGTCAGACCGACCTTATTCTTCTTCTTTTTCGACACATCACGGCAACCAGCAACGCCCGACCGACCTTGGCAACGCACGACTTGAACTCGCACACTCAGTCGCTCTCTCTTCTCTCTCTCTCTCTCACTCTTATTCTTCTTCTTTTTTTTCTTCTTTTTCTTCTTCTTCTTCGACACACCACGGCAACGGGCAACGTCGGACCGACCTTGGCAACGCACGACTTGAACTCGCACGCCTAGTCGCTCTCTATCCTCTCTCTCTCTCGCTCTTTTTCTTCTTCTTCTTCTTCGACACACCACGGCGACAAGCAACGTCAAACCGACCTTGTTCTTCTTCTTCTTCAACACACCACGGCGACCGGCAACGTCGGACCGACCTTTTTGTTCTTCTTCTTCTTCGACATACCACGGCAACCGGCAACGTCAGACCGAGCTTGTTCTTCTTCTGCTTCGACACACCACGGCGACCGGCAACGTCGGACCAAGCTTGTTCTTCTTCTGTTTCGACACACCACGGCGACCGGCAACGTCAAACCGACCTTATTCTTCTTCTTCTTCAAAACACCACGGCGACCGGTAACATCGGACCGACCTTGGCAACGTACGACTTGAACTCGCACGCCCGGTCGCTCTCTCTCCTCTCTCTCTCTCTCTCTCTCTCGCTCTTCTTCTTCTTCTTCGACACACCATGACGACGGGCAACGTCAGACCGACCTTGGCAACGCACAACTTGAACTCGCACGCCCGGTCGCTTTCTCTCATTTCTCTCTCACTCTTCTTCTTCTTCTTCTTCTTCTTCGACACACCACGACGACCGGCAACGTTAGACCGACCTTGGCAATGCACGACTTGAACTCGCACGCCCGGTCGCTCTCTCTCCTCTCTCTCTCGCTCTTCTTCTTTTTCTTCTTCTTCAATACACCACGACGACCGGCAACATCGGACGAACCTTGGCAACGCACGACCTGAACTCGCACGCCCGGTCGCTTTCTCTCCCCTTTCTCTCTCTCACTCTTCTTCTTCTTCTTCGACACACCATGGCGACCGGCAATGTTGAACCGACCTTGGCAATGCACGACTTGAACTTGCATGCCCGGTCGCTCTCTCTCCTCTCTCTCTCGTTCTTCTTCTTCTTCTTCTTTTTCTTCGACACACCACGGGGACCAGCAACATCGGACTGACCTTGGCAACGCACGACTTGAACTCGCACACCCGGTCGCCCTCTCTCATCTCTCTCTCTCTCTCTCTCGCTCTTATTCTTCTTCTTTTTCTTTGACACACCACGGCAACCGACTGTTAGCGTTTATGCCCTTAGGAATAAATGTAACAATATTCTTTGAGATATTTTGACTATTAATAAAGATTTGTTTATTTTATATATCTATGTATTGTCCGCTTTATGTTCATAATAGTTGAATGTATGATAAGCAAACTGAAAGTCTGAGACTGTCATTCTAAATCTTTAGGTCATGCATGTAATGTAAAGAACATGCGGAAGACAAGAATCTAAAGATGATAGTCTAAATCTTATGATCCACAATCGAGGGAATAAAGTTAGGCACTTTATTCATGTTAAGATTGTTATGTTGTCTACTTCCTAACAGAGACGGCTTGTCTTGGTCGTCGGAGGTGGGACTCCATGGGTGGAGACATTGATATAGTTTCTAATGGTGAAATCTATATTGGATCGGACCAAAGTTGAATTGTTTTAATTAATAATTCTGTTTGAATAAAATAATTCACTTTTGACGAATTATATGTTGTCATCCTAATCCTGAGATGGATGATGAACCTGTATACTTGACTTGTATCCTTTGATGTACTAAAGGGAGACATCCTGACATTATGTAAAGGTACGCTTGCCGGTACATTGGGAGTATGACTCGTGTATGCGTAGATTCGTTATTCATAGATAGTAGAATCCATAGGTACTATAAAGAGTCAATGATATCCTCTTATGCATTATCAGTGGATTGGAAAATATGAGCGCTCAGCCATTGGACTACTCTGTGTTATCTAATGGTTTACTGTTTGTAATGATACGAATAGTATTTTTCCGATAGTATGATAATGGAACATAAGATAAATGTAATCGGGAAGGTAAA